CCTGTCTCTACTAAAAATACAAAAATTAGCCAGGCGCTGTGGCGTGCGGCGCTATAGTCCAGCTATTTGGAGGCTCGAGGCAGCGTGAGAATGCATGATACCCGGGAGGCGTGAGCTTGCAGTGGCAAGATCGCGCCACTGCACTCCAGCCTAGGTGACAGAGCTGGAACTCGTCTCAAAAAAAAAAAGAGTTACAGGAGCTGAAGTGATATATTAGAGCTTAGTAATATACACATGTATTGGGACGATTAATTTAAGCACTGATGGGCACAACTTGAAAATGTTTTTTTTTTTTGTCTTTTGGTAGATACCTTGAATAGCTGATCCTTAGTACTTATAAAGAGTGCTTAAACTCTCTGGAGATACTTGCTTCCTTGATTTTCATGGTGAGCAATTTATATTGTTCTGATTAGACATTTCCTGATTTAGATATCTAGTCTCCTGGGCTCAAGCGATTCTCCTGCCTCAGCCTCCCAAGTAGCTGGGATTACAGGCACGCGCCATCGTGCCCAGCTAATTTTTGTGTTTTTAGTAGAGACGGGGTTTCACCATGTTGGCCAGGCTGGTCTTGAACTCTTGACCTCAGGTGATCCCGCTTCCTCAGCCTCCCAAAGTGCTGGGATTACAGGCATGAGCCACTGCGCCCAGCCATTTGAACTATGAATATTTTAATAGTTGGACTCTAAGAATGTGTATTATTACAAAGTTATAAGAATCCTATTAAACTAGTGTCACATAAAACTTTAGAAGACCTATTTTGTCATTTATTTGAGTACTATTTTGAAATAACATTAACTGAAAACAATGAAGTGCTAAAAGTAAAATTATGAATGCCTTTTTTGAAGCATTAGGAAAAAAGCTGGCCGGGCGCGGTGGCTCAAGCCTATAATCCCAGCACTTTGGGAGGCCGAGACGGGTGGATCACGAGGTCAGGAGATCGAGACCACCCTGGCTAACACGGTGAAACCCCGTCTCTACTAAAAAATACAAAAAACTAGCCGGGTGAGTTGGCGGGCACCTGTAATCCCAGCTACTCGGGAGGCTGAGGCAGGAGAATGGCGTAAACCCGGGAGGCGGAGCTTGCAGTGAGCTGAGATCCGGACACTGCACTCCAGCCCGGGCGACAGAGCGAGACTCCCTCTCAAAAAAAAAAAAAAGAAAAGAAAAAAGCTAATAAGCAGAACTTTGTCTTCATATATTTTCTATAAATGCTTAATGTATTTGAGTAATTTATTTTGAAGTGTTTATTTTAAAAGAACTCTGGAAAGTTGTTATATTTTTAATTAGTACTTGCTGTGTCACTTAATATGCCCATAAAAAGTCACTCTTTTACCTCAAAAAAAATTTTTACATCAAAATGTTCCCAAAATATTTCTCAATTTTTATCATTTTAGATTATCTTTTGGGCCTAACATTGTGTCCAAACTTTATATTCAAATTACATTACTAACAAAATATAACAGGAGTGTAACAGCCTTAAACAGCTTAGCTATCATGCCCTCCCATCCTATCACTACCACCCCCACATACATTGCTGGGTGCTTGCTTACTCAGACGTGCACACAGACAATCCTTGCTGAGTTTCCTTGGGGAAAATATTTGTTCAAGTTAATCCTGCTCTATGCTTTGGCAATTTGACGAATAATATGTCTCTTCCAGTACAAAAATTCTGATTCAGATGACAGTTATTTACAGAAATGGTCTAATAAAATCATGCAGCATTTCACAAGACAGTAGATGAAAGACAAATGTAATTTTTAAGAGTCACAAAATCATGATCTGGAAGATACCTTAGAAATTTTTTCTATAATCCCTCTGTTTTATAGTTAAGAAAACTAAAGGGAAAGGCCTTGTACAAATTTCACAGGGCGTATTTGTTAGCACTTGAACCACAACCTAAAATCTCCAGATTCACAGACTACTAGCTTCTTGTTGTTGTTGTTGATTTTCTTTTTAGCTAGATTTAGTATTCACAGACTCCATGGTAAGGTATCATTTTGTTGTAAGTTTTCTTTCTTTTTGAGAGAAAAAACCAATCATATAACTATTTATAGCCCTGTATAGCTTCAGAGCACATTCACTCGTGTTATTACATTTGATTCTCATAGTATCCCTGGAAGAGGGACAGATCAGTATTCTGACTCTTGTTTTTCAAATGGAGAAACAAGATCTAAAAGGCTATGACTTGTCTCGGATCCCTGCATGTGGTATGTGGAGACCCAGTCCCACAACATGGGTCCCCTGATTTCAGTCTGTGGTTCTTCTTACGCCGTCCCTCTGCCTGTTATATGGTTCAAGCACACATCCCAGGTTTTATAGTTTCCTGTTTTTCTGTTATCTGTCAGATTATGTTTTTAGGTCCAGTCTCTTGACAATTAAAATTTTACATAATAGTGGATAAACAGTCACTGACCCTAAGGAGCTTATACTCAACAACAAAATACACTAGAAACAATAAGGACAGACTGTTTCAACAACCAAAAAAAAAAAAAAATGACCATGTTTAACACATCATGGGAACAGTGCTCTTGGTGTCTTTGCACATAAAAATTCATAAAAATTGTTAGAACTTTTTACTTAATATTATGCAAATGAAAAAATGTCTGCTACATACACCTCACTCGGTCTACATTTTGTACCAGTTTTCACAAGATACAGAGATCCATGTCATGCCCTCCAGATTAAAGTTCAATAAAACCTCACAAACATCTCAGCTTCTAAAGGATGTCAGGATAGCTCAGCTTCTCTTTTTGAAGATGCTTCTGAAAATAAAAATTTTCATGAGAAGTTCAGATATGTCTAAATGCCCAAATTCATCTAAAGCTTTTGGACTTTCCCTACTTACAATTTCTTAGAAGTAAGGATGAATTAAGATAGATTTCTCATGACTTGAAAACTGTAGGCGAGTTGATGGTGGAAACACTAGATCCCAGCAAGTACAAAGAAGTCATTTCTTTGATTTACCTAAATGAGTTTCTTGTACCCAAGTAAATGGACAGAGGCTAATTTTTTGTTTCTTTGCAGCCCTGGCTTTCAGTTTGTAACATTTGCTTATTAGTTGGTTGACCAATATATGTAAATGAGCCACATAGACAGCCTCTTATTACTTTCCACTTGAATTTCTTTTTTTTTTTTTTTAGAAATGTCAGTCACTTCTGTGCAAGCAATTTATACACATTTTAGTAAAGCTACATTCTCTTTTTTAAGGTATCAAGAAGAAACTTCTATAGGTTAATTTAACAAAGGTATTTTCCTGAAAATCTTAAACTTCTACCTTTTATACCGCATGCCCCATGATGTTCTTCATATATGATCTGCTGCCTCAGTCAGAGTTGGCAATGAGGCTGCTATAAATATGTTGTTATCCTCAACAAGTAGTATTAATGTTCCGTAGTTACTAATATAGCCTATATTGAATTTTGTTGGGTTTTTTTAACATAGCATCCTTTATTTCATTAACAGCTTTGTTCAGAGAGAGGTTAATTCATATAGTTAATCATATTAAAGACTTTTATTTATAAACCCTGAATCTGAACTCAATGAATGAAATCTCTTCTTAATCTAGTGCAGCTATAAATGTCAATTCCAAGTATAATGTCAAATTCCTTATAAATGTCAAATCCAAGGGATAGGATTATCACTTCACTGTATGTTTTTTCCATCTTTATAATAACCATTCTAGGCTCTTTCATTTCTGTTTCTTTTTATGAGGAGGTAGTTTATAGTCCACATTTTTTTCCTAAAATAATCCTGCTACTTGCCACTTTTCTGCCTGTTTTTACCCTCATCCCACTCCTAGTTTCTGAAATTGAAGCCATTTATTGTCATGTGTGTGACCTCACAGTGTGCTCAGCAGTGAGCTAGATGCATTGAGAGATATTAAAGAAGCGTTACAGGTCAGATGAGGAAATGGAAATAAGCATTTAAAAGGCAACCAATAATATAATTAGATGCAAAATGATGTGATGCAAATTGTAATTACAGAAGAGAGCTGAATGAGAAGGCAGGAGGAGTATGCATAGCTAGAGAAGGCCTCTAGATGAAGGTAAGGCTTCAACTGAGCTTTTGTCCTGCTTATGGGAGGGTATTTGGATGTGATGTGGGAAAGAACTAGTCTAAAGGAGCATACGGCTATGAAGAGAGGGGAGAGAGTGGGAGGAGACTGATTGATTAGTGACTTGGAGTTGAGGAATTGCAGTAGGAGAGAAAAACAGGATAGAGATTGTGGCTTTAGAAGAATGCATGTGAGTGTTTTGAGGGCATCTGATGATTGGAAGGTGAGGCTAGGAGACATGTCTTGCTGTGTTTGCCCAGCATTTTGCACGAGCCTGAGCAAACATTATTTGTCTGTATCAAGAATTGGGTCTTGTCCTAGACCTTGATGCTACTGCCATAAAGAGGAAGGATCAGGATCAGCCTTTCAAGGTGTCAGTGGTTCATTAGTGAGCATCAGTCCAATTGGGAAAATGTGATCATCTGCTCTCTGATCTAAGTGCTATGCTAGGCACTGAAATGCAGTGATGAATGATACGATACACAGCTTGTACATTGTGGAAGTGCCCAGTGTGGCCAGGAAGACAGACACATAATACAGTCATTTGCTAAATATAGATTTGCTGAGCACCCTCGATGTCACACACAGTATTCTAGGCACTGAGGATACAGCAGTAAACAGATAAAA